ACGATGGAATGAACTCAAATGTCCATTAACTAATAAACAAATGAGATCTATCCATATCATAGAATATTAGCCATAAAAAGGAATGTAGTATGAAAACATTAGGCTTAGAGAAAGAAGTCAAACACAAAGGCCACATACCACTTCTCTGGTATGTAGTTCCTAATCCACAAGGGAGGATGGGGAGGGGAAAAATAGAAGTCCACTGGATTAGATAAAGGGGAATGAAAAAAAGGAAAAGAGGAAGGGAATAGGAAGGATAGCAGAATGAATCAGGCATAACTTTCCTATTCTTGTATTTGAATACATGATCAGGGTAACTCGGCTTCATGTACAACCACAAGAATGGGATCCTAATTAGAATAAGTTATACTCCATGTATGTATAATATACCAGAATACATTCTACTGTCATGCATATCTTAAAAGAACAAATACAAGAAAAAAAGCCACATACTAGATAATTCCATTTACATGAAATCCAGAATAGCTAAATCTAGATAGGAAGCATTTTAGAGGAGGCTGGGATGTGGCTCAGTGGTAGAGTGATTGTCCAGAAAGCAGATTAGTGGTTCCCAGGGGCTTCAGGAAAGGAGAATAACTGCCTCATGGGTACAAGGCCTCCTCCTAGGGTGGATGAGAGACTTGTAACTGGACAGAAGTGATAGTTGCCCAACACTGTGAATATACCAAATGGCACTGAACTGTGTACTTTAAAATGTTTAATGATGATTCTGTGTTAGGTGTATTTTACCTCAATAAAAAAAATGAAAGGCAAAAAAATACAAGCCACAGTTTTTTATTAGGCTCACTGGATATAAACTTGCTTCATCAAACTGCTATGAAATTTCCATTTATTTTCAATTCCTTTACTCATCTCTTCTCTGGGACCATTAACAATGCACCAGCAAGACCCACCACTGCCCTGTGTCCCATCCTGTCTTGCCTATTCAGGGACACTGCTAGAGCAATTGTGTCCCCACACATCAGCTGTATCAGCAAGTTTTCCCCTCAACTGCATCACTCTTATCAACACACACACACACACACACGCCTATCAATCTCCTCTCCCCTCTAGTGACTGCCCATCTCACCACTTCCCTTATGGGGAAACTCCCTGAAGAGCTGTCTATACTCACTGCCCCGTTCTTCTGTCCCATGCACTACTAATATACAATCAGGCTTTGGTCCCCACCTCCCCACAAAAGCAACCACTTAGTGAGGTCATCCATCATTTGCACCTGGCAACAGCCAATAGTCAATTCCAGTGCTCGTCTCCCTTGACCTGTCAGTCTGTTTGGCTCTGCTCATTGAAACACTGTCTTCACCTGGCTTGCAGACACCACTCCCCTGCAATTTCTTGCTTCCTCATTGGGTGCTCCTCAATGCCCTCTCCATTGCTGGTGCTCCCCATCCATCAGAACACTAAACACAGGAGGGCTCCAGATTCAGCCTTGGTTCTTTACTTTCCATTTACATCTGTTTCTCTAGGTGATGGATCACACTAACATCAATGCATCGTCGAATTCTCAAAATTTTCATTTCTAGCAGGATATTCCTCTCAATATCCAGCTCCCACCTAACAATCTACCTGGGTGCCTCATGAATACTCCAAATCTAATATGTGCAAATTAATCTCCTAGGATCTGGGAACATAGCTGAGTAGCAGAGTGTTTGTTTAGCATGTGTAAGGCCCTGGGTTCAATTTACAACACTGCAGAAAAAAAAAAATCTTCTAATTCCCACCAACCTCTTTTTCCCCATGGTCTTTTACCTTGGAGACTTCAATCTTGTACTTGATCAGGTCAAAAACATGAAGTCGTCCTCCACTTCCTTTCCTTCTGTTGTATCCCAATCCCATCTGCAAATTTTGTCAGTTCTGTCTTCTAAGCATATCCAGAATTCAACCACTTGTCATCATCACCTTGCTCCCATGCTAAGCCAAGATCATCTTTTGCTAGAGTGACTGCAACAGCCTTCTAACTGGTCTCCCTGTTTCTACCTTTGCATCCCTATGGTCCACTCTTAAACAGTAGTCAGGGCCATCTCTAAAAACCACAAGCAGGACATGACAACATCTGCTAAAAATCCTATAATTGCTTCTCATCTCACTTAGTTTCAGTGGCTTCTACAGGACCCAGCCCACATCTCTCTGATCCAACCATTGACACTTTCCAGGATATGGAAAAGAGAGGGAATGGTGCAAACTTTGTTTATTTAAAAATAAAAATGTGAAGAGGGAAAAGGAAAACTTCTCCTGTGAATCTTTCCCCCTTAACATTCTATTTTCATGTTACCAATTTCAGCAAAATCAGAGGAAAACACTGTAGTCAGATTCATTTATTCAGATGCTGAAGAGAAGGTAAGCTTACATTTACCTTTAAAAAAAAAAACTGAAGAAACATGGATTTAAGAGACACATTTATACTCAAATAGGATTTTAAAGAAAACATTATCTATTTAAAAAAAAAGTTCTTCAAATCATTTAGAAGTCCCCCTTAAAATAATTGATTTACTTCTTTGAAATTATAACTTATTTGTTAAAGCAAACCAAAGGAACTTAAATTAACATTGGTAGGACTGCTAAAAGGCACTGGTAAATTAGCCAGCCTTCCTGAATTTCTCATAAGTAAGTATAATGATGTCCCTCATCCCACCCACTGCGTCCCACTCCATCCCTCCCCACCTCAGCCCCACTTAACAAAGAGCCTAACTTGCCCCCAAAGTTCTCTCCGCTCTGTCAATGCTGAAGATGAAATAGGATCCCATGTCCCTAAAGATGGTCTATTGGGCATTCTTGTCCCCAAACACAAWTTTCCCTTTCCATTCCCATCTGCTCTGTTCAAATGCCATGCACTGCACCCAAAGACAGCACATCTTTAGAAGTTATAAAGCCACATTTCTTTCAAAAATTAGCTGGGACTTGATTTCCTATTAATTCATATTCTCTTTATCCATAGTAATTCCAAAGTAAATATTTACTGAGATTTCACTGTAGCTCTTCCTGGCTAATCCACTCATTTCCACAGCTCAAGCTCCAGATGAACTGCAATGGAGTCAGAGGGTCCCAAGCAGTCAAACCTGGGGCCTTCTCACACCCATGGGTTCAATTCTATATGTCCTTGGAAAAGCCGCAAGAAATTCCAGTAGTTTTCCCCTCTGAGCACTGCTATGCTGGCCTCACTTTCCTGGACTGTAACCTCTTTCCTCCTGGTCACTTCTTTTTCTGCCATAAATTCCCATGCCTACTGCTCTTCTCCGAGTTCCTTCTTCTCTGCTCTAATAAATTGCCTCTTATATTTTTGTCTTACTGCCCTGCTCTGAATTTACACCTTTGTCTCCAGAATGCCAGTGCTTCTAAATATACTCCATTATTCCTGGAGTAAGAAGCTCAAGCAATTTCTTCCTACAAGTGGGTTTCAGTTTTAATTTTCTATCTGGACAAACGTTTCTTTAACTGCTTCAAACCCAAATTGCTCACTGGCTCCATCAGACAAGCAATGCAGTAGGCTTCTGAACTTTTTATGTCTGGGTTCCTTACAGAGAAAGCTCACTCAAAAATGTGTCAGTCACTCATTCATTTGCTCAACCAATAAGCAGCAAACAAGTCATCATAGCAAGTAAAAAGGCATATGAGATGAGTCCTCTGTCTTCAAGTAGCTTATGATCCAGATTTTATACAGAATCCAAGGCAGCATGCAAGAAGGACCATAGAGCATAGAGCACACAAAATGAATGTTTATGAAGTAGAGGTATGCTTGCCCACTCCCCAAATAATGATTATTAATAAAAATGAAACTGTAATCGGCAATGTATACTTCAGTCTCTACAGTTCAAATTAGCTCCCCTGACTTACGTATTCTATAATAATAGAAGCCACCATTTTAAAAATATTTTATTTATTATTTAACATCTTTAGCTTGACATAACTTTTATACAATATTTATACATAAGGTAGGCAGCTGGGCATGGAAGCCAATATTTTATTTTAATATAGCAAATAAAGCATAACTTGCCCAGCTTTTTAAGATTTTATTGTTCTGATTTTTAAAATCAAGGCATGTTTCTGATTCTCAAAAAGTCTGCTCTGCAAACAAATATGATCTCCATAGTCAAGTTATTTGGAAACCAAACTTCTCCTTTTATTTATTATAGAGTAGGCGTTGACAAATCAGTGTCTCTTCCAATCACTCACTAAGGCCCTGATTTCCACTTACTGCCTCGACTGTGTTTGCTTCTCAATTTTCTAAATCAAAAGATGATGCATAAATATAAAGGACTTAAAAACAGCATCTGGAAACAGCAGCCATAAAAGACCTGCCTATCATCACAGCATAAATGTTGGGGAGAAGGTTAAAAGTGAAGTTGAGGAATTGTGTACTTCAAAGTGCTTTGGTTCATTAAACAGTCATTTTTTATTTTAAAGCCATTATATCAGAGTTATTTGCATTGCTACTGCATAAACTCTGAGATTGACTGTATTAAAAAATGTTTTATTATGTTATTTTATTTTCCCCCCAAAAGATGAATACACCTTCACATTTTAAAATGAAAATCTTTGGGAAACTAGTATTCAGTATTCAGAAATTCACTTCAGGAAAAAATCCTGAGACTTGAAYCACATTTAAAGTATCCCTGTGTACCCTCAGTGGTACAGCACTTGCCTAGAAGGGACAAGGCCCCGAGTTTGATCCCCAGCACTGCCACCACCAACAAGAGTGACCCTGTTGCACACTGAGCCTGTAGAAAATACATTTTTAGCTTTTGAATAGAAGTTTCACATCTTACTGTTGTACTCAGAAAAAATTATCATATTAAAAAAATCAARCAAAGCAAAAATCAATCCATTGCTAAATACTTTAAAGGATAGTTATCTCAGCTTCACACACAAGGAACTTCCCAACAGTTCCTAACAGATAACAGCCATCAAAGAGGTTAGGACACCCCATGTTGGCTGCACATCCTCTCCCCACCCCCAAAGCCAGCCTGAGAGCAGACACCTACCACTCGATTTGGCTTCCGAGTAGGAAGGGCCATCCTCAAAAGTGAAGATTTGGGACACACTCTGGCCCAGGTAGGAGGGAGGCCCATAGTAAGAATGCATCCTGTACTGGGAACTCACTGCATGGCGATTCTCCGAGTTTTTCATCTGCTTAAGAAAAAAGAAAGAACACAATAAGACCAAAGTTTCATTTTACAATTATTTAAAAAAAAAAAAGAGGGGAGGAGTGTGGGTATGGGGGCAGGAAAGATCGTGGAACGAGATGGACATCATTACCCTAGTGTGCCTATGACTACACATATGGTGCGACACTACATCTTATACAGACAGAGAAATTAAAAGTTGTGCTGCAGTTGTGTACAATGAATCAAAATGCATTCTGCTGTCATATATACCTAATTAGGATAAATGAATAAATAAATATTTTTTTTWAAACTAGAACTGTGTACCCTCAAGGTGACTTTCCTATCTTTGGGTCCCCTCAAAAGCACCCCGAAAATTCCATGTGGGTTATATGATGCTCAGTTAACAAGTACTAAAAAGAACAGGGTGGTAGAGAGGGGAGAGCCATGCTCAGGAGCCAACACACCTACTGGGAGGCTACTGAGCTGCTTTGACCTTCTTCATGTTTCCTTCTGGGTAAAAATGGCACCTGGCCTTGGTTACCTTATACTATTCATATAAGGACGCCTTTTGAAGACTGTAAACAATAACATGGAAACCAAGCACAGGGGTAAGCTGTCCCCAGTGGGATGCCATGCTGGGTCCTGTCAGTCAGCGTCCATGCCCATCTCCTTCTATGCCGTTCCCTGTAGCAAAGGAGAAAGGTAAGGGATCTGGATTCAGAAGGGATCTGGATTTTGCTAGTGACCACAAAAGAGTGGGGATGGGAAGGCAGCAGGGAAGCACAAGCTACCCATCCAGGAGCGCTGGCAGCTGACACACAGGCCTGGCAGTCACACATTTTTCTGGAAACCAGATCCTGTCTTTGGGACTCTGGGTACCTTTTATGTAAAGAGAAGTTCTCCATTGCTTCCTGATCTCTTCCTTCAAATCTCAGGAGATGTGACCTAACTTCAGTTTTTCCAGTCCTTCTGATGMCTGGAAAAATCCTTCTGATGATAGACAGGGCCCCAACTTCAGTTTTTCCAGTGCTTCTGATGATTGCAGAGGGGGCACTTATGCCAACATCTAGAATTGTTTCCTGCATGGAAGCTGGTACAGCTACTAAGCTGTCATGAAGATATGATCATGAGTTGAATAACTCATGATCATATCTTCATGACAAGAGCAGAGCTGGATGATTTATATTGCCTTTAAAAATTAAATTTGGATGGTACTGCATTTACTTATTTAWTTAGATGCTGGGGATCAACCCTAGGACCTTGTGGACCTTGTGGTAGAGCAAGCGCTCTACCACTGGTGTACACTCCTAGCCTGTAGATGACAGCCACTTTTAAATAACAGTCTTTCTAAGGAAATGTCTAAGGATAAACTAATCATGATCAGAATTAAGAACTAATTTCAAAAATGGTGTTTTAAAATCCACTGTATGTTAACTTAACACACCTGGCAGGTAAAATTAGTTTCTGGGCTTCCTRGAGATTTTCTATGAATATCTAAATWCTGATAACTTCTCAAGTCACCRTGGTCTGAGTGCATTTTGAATACTATGGAATTGTTTGGTGGCAAGTTCCTGATTTCTGTATGATACTTTGAGATGATTGAAGGATTCATGTTTGATCTTCCCAGTTCAAATGCATGCTCTGAGGGGTGGATTCTCACCCCTTGGAGAAGTAGAAATGACTTCATTACAGGTATTTATTTCCTTTCAACTGAAGTTTCAATGAGCAAACTACTCTTCTTTTTGCTTTTCAAAATATATACAGTGGCATCTTTTCTAGGCCAATCATTCCATTTCCATTTTCTTCTGTCATATAAATCTTCACCAAATAGGAGGTCAAAGCAAGCTGTACTTGGAAAATAGCCCAAGGCCAAGAACTGCCTGCCACCCTAACGAGAGTGTCCAGGTCAGGAGGGCCCATCAGGGAGCTATGAAATCATTCAAGAGGGAGGACAATCAATGGTAGCAGTTTACTACACAAACTAGGTTCCCAATTAGATCAGTGCTCCCCAGCACTCCCTGAACCGGCATGGGGATCTGTTAAGTGCAGAGTCAGTGTGCTAGGTYTGGGTAGGGCCTGATTGCCTCACAAGCAATCCCAGAGAAGCGGATTCACTCTGATGACTAAGAGCTTGAAAAACCATACTTTCTCTCTTACTTAGGAGCCCAGAACCAATGTTCTAAAAATTCTTTAGCAAACTGCTTATAACCACCAAGTTTCCGATGGAAGTGGGATAGGATGAAAATTATGGCAAGTGGCATTTTTTTGCTTTTATTATTTTTCTTTTACCTGTAAAAGACCCCAAAGCATCAACAATTTTTTCAGGGCTCTTGCATCTTCCTGAAGTGTTGCAATGGTAATAAGAAACTCAAGCACATCTTAAAGAGCCATTTCTGTCTCCAGACTTCCATCAGGTCAGTTATGCAGTCTGAGCAATGAGCACCAAGTTAGCAACAAGGGACTAACAAAAGAGTACAGAACACCCTGGTATGAATAACAGGGCGTCCCCACTCTGGATAGGGAGCTAGTCTCATCTGAGTGCATGTCAGTCCTTCAAGGAAAATAATTTTCAGGTTTTTTATGTGTGTGTGTGGGGGGGTCGTTTTAGGTACTGGGGATGAAACTCAGAGGCACTCTATCACTGAGCTACAAGGCCATCCCTTTTGATTTTGAGACAGAGTCTTGCTGAATTGCCCAGGCTGACCTCAAATTTGTGTCTCTCCTGCCTCAGCCTCGAGAGTCACGAGGATTACAGGTTATGTGCCAGGGCAGGCCAGCTGCTTTTCAGTTTTCCCTCTGTAGAAGGAAAGGTCTCGAGCCTGCAAGGCCCTGCAAAATGCTCTATATTTTCCTTTTACTGTGAAAGTTTCTACTAATCTGTTTAAAATGTTTGAAAAATGTTCACTGTAAACCCAAATCAGGGGTCAGCAAACTTTTTGCTGTAAATGATCAAATAGTAAATATTTTAGGCTTTGCAAGTCCCCTGTAGGCAACTGGCAAATCAATTGGCTGTGTTCCAATAAAACTTCAGAAATATGTGCACTAGTTCTTAACCTTGAGTCTCACTACAAAAAGGGCTCTCCTTCACCCTGTACTGAGAGTCTGGGTTCTAACCCTAGAAAATCTGATTTAATTGGTCTGGGTGTGGCCTGGACCCTGGGTCGTTCCAAAGCTTCCCAAGTAATTAATTCTAAAATGTCATGAAGATTGAAAAGCAATACTCTAAAATTATCAACATATCTCTAAACATCTGAGAAGTATGAAATCACAATATTCCTYGTGTTACTTTAAAAATGCAAAAGGTCAATTGTGACAGTGCCAATCCCACTGTGTATATTATCTGAGAAGAAAGATAAATGATAGAGTTCTTTTTTAAAAAATAAAACCTGCTGGAAAATAAAAACAATTTCAAACGTATACATATGCTAATATCCCCATAATTCCCTTTCTATATTTTTAGAAAGCATCAAATTACAAGAATTATTTGAAACTAGGAATTGAGTTCTTCGTATTCATTCAATTTCCCCAACAAATCCAAAAGATCACTGAGCTACAGAAAACTTTCAGCAAAAGAAGAAAAGATACAAAGGGTCAGACTCCATTTGATGTCATTAAAATGTGAACTTACTGAGGTTATCAATCATTCAGCTCCATCCAACACAAAGAATAATCCACAAACAACACCCACATGACTACCCACACATAAAGAAGCATGGCCCTGTTTGTTTCTAAGTGCATGTATATCTCTGAAACATAAAGTTATATCTGAACTGCAATTCACCCAGAAAGCTCAGGAAAATGTACAGTAKGATACTATTTAAAACTTTAAATTGCTATCTGCTCCCTTCTAACTGAAAAAAAAAATCACAATTCTGCTACTTTTGGTTTAGACAAAATGGGTAAATAATGAAGACTTTGAAACCTGTTTTACCTTAAACCCATAATTCTCCATGGGGGGGGGGGACCTGGTCCCTGGGGAACTTCTGACTGTATGGAGACATTTTCTCACTCCCCTGCCCCATGTTTCCTATTGGTGCACTACAGTTGTACATAATGGTTGGATTTCATATTTGTAGTGCACACAACATCAACAATATAATTTGGATTGTCACAACTGGGGGGAGGGGAGTGCTCCTGGTATCTCTTGGCAAAGGCCAGGTGACATCTTCCCACAATGTGCAGGACAGTCCCCCACACGACAAAGTATCCAGCCCAACATTTTGGTAGTGCCAAGGTTGAGAAACCCAGCTTTAAACTAACCTGATAACCTTGGCTCAGCCCCTCACCACCAGTGAAAAGAAAAGAGCAAAGCACTACTGAGGGACAGAAGCTATAAACTAATTAGAACTATTCAGTTCTGCTCAAGGGGCATGTTATTCTTTCCTTTTTGCAATGCTACCTTGTTTCTTTAGATTTTTAATTCCTTTAAATTAAACAAATAAACCAAGTAAAACTTAAAAAACCCAGGACTCTGGTGAATTGTGGTTACTATTATTATCAGCACGTGGTAGTTGGCAAGCAAGAGGTAAGTTTTATAATYTTATTACCCTCCCCAGCCCCTAAGCCCGAACAGGACCCACAGACAGGAGCTGGGCTGGCAGAGAACGCACATGCTGTTAGTCTTAACCCAAAGGAAGGTAAGAGTTTAATGGTTTGTTTTATCAAATTGCTGAGAAAAATACATCACAATAAATCTGAACCATAGGTTCTCTTTATACATCATAACTGCTCTCTTTYATAGTAACGATAATATAAACAAAGCATAAAAATGTTTGACCTCATTTCTTTTCTCAAAAGTTCCTGAATACTATTCATTGAGTCTACTTTGCTTCAGATAGGAAGAATGACTAGTTCTACACTGAACTGAACACTCCTTCTAGGTGAATGGCTAAAGGGGATTCACGGAGACAGAATAATCTTGCTGGAGTTTAGGTAAGGGACGGTGTTCCTGAGAAGAGTTCTGTAGGATGACAGTTCTAATTGTAGAGTCCCCTGACACTGACATGGGGCTCGTGGTCTTTT